CTATGTGACTCGTCGAGCCCCATTATTCCTCAGAACATCAAGGAAAACCAACTTAACTTGTCGATTTGTCTCATCAACTCACTGAGTTACCCATGTCCAAACTCATTGGGGAAAACCCTAGCCGACTCATCGAGTAAGTTCATTAACTCGGTGAGTTCATTCAGTCTGTATTCTTATTTAGACGTTTTAAGGCAGATCCACCACTCCAAACTCTAGATCTTGTCTCCTAAGGCTGAAATGCCACGTAAAGCTTCGATATGTACGTTCATACATGGCATATTTACTCTATAATGCCAACACAAGCTCCAACAAGGGTATGGTACTCATAGGCTTGCCTTTAGCTCCATAAAGCTTGGGTCTTTGGGCTCCCAAGACCTCCTGCAATCCAGATCTGAGGTTTCAACCTCAAGATCTGCTCAAGGGATTCAATAACACAAGAAGGATGGCGAAAATCCCTAGAACTCCCCCAACTAAGATCTCACAAGAAAAATGATCAAGATAGCATCTTTTTACCTCAAACAGAAGCTATCCACTGAAAACCTCTAGATCCAAAAATCACTCCTTGCTCAAACCCTTCATGTTTTCCGCTTTTTCTTTCCAAGTGCGCCAAAATGCTCAAGATAGCCTCTCTTTCTCACACAACAAGCTAAAACTCGATTAGGGTTCTTCACAGTGCTCAAGGGTGATGACGGAGGCAGAAATGAGGGCTTAAGGCCCTTTAAATAGGACACAAATGTGGGGATTTAGGGTCTCCTCACATAGCGCCAACTCGGCGAGTCAGCTCTCTGATTCGTCAAGTTGGTCATTAAACCCACGTGACCAATCCAACTATACTCAACGAGTCGGGCACACGACTCGTAGAGTCACACATTAAATCCTAAAAATAAATATATAAATATATTACCTAATAGTCAGGATGTTACAATTGTGGATTTGTCTTGGTAACAACGTTTAAGATATAGCTTAACTAGTTATTAACAATAGTTCACCACAAATACATGATTAAACCACAAATTTTTCTGCTTTAACAAATTTTAACATAAATCTTTTGAAAACAAAATAAAAATAAAAATAAGGTTTACATAAATACTCTTGAGCAAATATATGTTGTTAGCCTCTCCTAGGTTATTTAGAGCCTGTGGAGTTGTCTCCTTGCCCATAATTGAAAAGGCATCATCTTTGCAAAGTACTCCTTTGTGTAGGACTTTGGTTTCATGACTTTCAGCCATCACTCTTACTCTTACATTAATATTATCAAATTTATAGAGAAACTAATATATATATATATATATATATATATATATATATATATATATATATATATATATATATATATATATATATATATATATATACACATATATATATATATACTGTAGTAAAACCATAGGCCACATATGTTTCAACACTTGAAATATAAGCTGTACTTTAAATATAACTATTAATGTTAATAACATAAATTGTTACTAAATTATTTGAGATTATTTTTGATTCTGTCACATAAGTTATAATTATAAACCCTACTAAATCAATATAATTTAGTCTTGTAAATGAAATGAGAAATGGTTATTTGATGTATTAACATAACTGACTAATATAAATTAATAGTAACAAAAAATTCAGATTTCTCAACTAAACATGCAATATAATGATATTTTTTTTACAGAATACATTGCAACAACTATTTTATAGTACAAAATACTATCATGCACTTTTCACGACGTAAGTGTCTCACCTTGCAGTGAAACTAAATAGTTTTGCATGAACTCTGAAGGTCATAGGTAAAAGAATACAAATGTTACCTCATGATTTTGAATGTACTAGTGTTTTTTGTTACAACAATAATATACAGTTTAAAATGTTAAAAGTCTTGTTATTTGTTGATTTGCTACAAGTTCATGGACTATAATTAAATAATTATTCCCAAATTTTACGTAAAATTTGAAGGTATAAAATTAGGCGAGTGGAACAATTGGAAACATAAAAAGGAAGAAAAATCGAAAGGTCTATTGATATAAGTTTTATGACCTAAATGTATTTTCTTTTATGGTAATGTTAATTGTTGTATTTTGTCATTTATAGATAACGTGCTATTATTTATTTATATATTATGTTTCTAAATGTGCACTTGTATTAGGAAGGAAATTAGCAAGTTACTCCATCAACCTTGAGCAATGGAAACATTATGCCTCAAGTTGTTCATCTTCTTGTTATAAATGAGGTATATTCTTTTTATTTATATAACTTTGTTGTTATTTCAAATATATTACTATTATATAAATATTTTATTTGAATATAACTATATTATTATTACATTTGTATACACGGTATAAGAAATCTTGATAATAACTCAACTACCCTTTGTTTATTGTGTTGCCTTATAGTTTTGGGTTGGATGAGTGAGCATTAGACTTATTTTACTTTACTTAGACTTTTGTTTAAAAGAATTCAAAATATTGATTGAAAACAATGAAATTATTATAATTTATATGGACTATAGTTAAATTAGTTTTTTATTTATTATTATAGGGAAAAAATGTGTTGGTGTAAGTAGCGAGAATTCTAGATTCATATGTAATTAGTATTTAAAAATATACACCAAAAAACATTTTATTATAATGTGGGAAACAAAAAAGAGCCAATAAAAGTAGGATCAATTTTAGAATTGAATTAGCTTTTATCGGAACAAATTATGTGCCACAAAATAGTTTCTGTTTACTGTGACAAATAAAAAAGTATCACTAAAACCCAAAAAATTATCACTAAAACCCAAAAAATTGCAGCATCAAAACTGAAAAATGTCAACAAAGGGTTTTAGTAAGTGCGTTTCTAATGACACTTTTTATTTATGTCGCTGAATCTCTTGAAAACATTTAGTGACAATATTTTTGGGTATTTAGTGGCACTTTTTGTATGCCATTAAATGACATTTTTTTATAGTGTGTTAATATGTTCACATATTACCATTGTCACCTTTTATAGCCGGTGACAATGATAATATGTGAATACATATAACAAGTTAAATAGTTAAATGTATAAAAAAAATAAAGAAGTTGCCTAAATGTAAACAAAGTATGTGTGACAATACTCGATCTAACCCATTACCCGCCATTGATCCAACACGAAAATAAACGGGTTTGGGTTGAGATTTTTGACTCGTCAACCAACCAACCCACCAACCTGTTTATTTCATGGGTTGGGTTGGGTTACCTGTTTGGGTTCGAGGGTAAACCTGCCAACCCGATTATATATATATATATATATATATATATATATATATATATATATATATATATATATATATATATATATATATACATATATATATATATAATGTTTACAAAATATATTTAATTATTTATCAGCTTCGAATATTTGATTATCGTTTAATTGTTCTCCGATTTTAAAACTGCAAAACATCTTCTAGTCAACTTAGCGTGCTGTAGCCCCTAAGAAGCCGCTAATCAAAAAGAAATCCAGTTTTCAGTCTCCAAACTCACAACTCTGTGTCTCCCTTCTCCGTCGATTGAGGCATTAAGTTATCGACTGTCGCAGTGTCGCACGGATAACACTCGTTTTCTCGTCCTCCGGCTGTCACACACCACTCGTCGTCGTCACTCATGTTTATGACTTTATGTTGAATATTTAAGACTTTATGAATTAATTTTATTTGTATTTTTTAATTTCATTTTAAAATCTGTTGCTTATTAAATGCGTTATACGGGTTTCGTTCGACCCACTAACCCACAAACCTACGAACCCATATACTTATACGGGTTATATGGGTTGGGTTGGGTTGATGTTTTCAACCCACCAACCCACCAACTCATATATTATATGGGTTATGTTGGATTAATATATTCTGACCCGCCAACCCGAACCCAACCCAATTGTCAAGCTTAGAACAAAGTAAAAAAAATGATTACCCTTGTAAACCATTTTCTCAACAATTTTTTATCGTACACAATAATTTGTTTTTTATAGAGTTGTAAAGTACAAATACATAAAACACAAATTGTTGTATATTGCTAAAAAATAGTGTACATATCAGCATCCAAATTTTAAATGATTAGTTCCTTTTTTTGGTGAAAAAGAAAAATAGGTCGTTCCATAAAAAATGTCTTAACATTATTTTTATTACTTTTCGATCATCATTTGATTTTTACCCATGTGTACTCCAGAAATTAGTAACTTTAATTTTGATCCATAAGCTTTCTTCTTAATGTTGTTATTGAATAGTGTTGTAAACATTTCTTCAATAGTCCCTCAAACATTTCTTCATAATGGGCTGGAAAAGCATTGAATGGGGGAGAAATGTCATAGGCTAAACCCGGTTCTAGACCTTGGAATAGGTGTCGGAACTGGAACCGGAAACGGTCTAGAACCCATATTCTGGTCCGGTGTTTGTTAAATTTTCAAGCTTTTTTGGTTTTCGGTTCCCGGTTTGGGCCAGGTCCGACCTATTTGTGGTGCAGTACACCCAAAATGTGGGTAGAATCGTTTTTCTTGATGAATTATTTAAGAATGCATTCTTTCTTCTTTTCCTTATTCCTCATTTATGTTTATTCTTGTCATTCATTCAAGGTTTAAATTTTTTTTAGATACCATGTAATCTTTGTGGGTACCACTGTACACTCTTCTTGGAGTTATTAATCCCTGTGTTTCCTTCTCTACACGTTTTGTTCATGTTGGTTGTGAAGATTAAGATAAACATTATTGACTAGAAAGCGTATGTAGATTAATAGAAGTTACTTTTGTCTCAAAACCTATTTGATACAATCCGGAAAAAAGAATACAAACTAATTAAAAGACTATAATATAATATCACAAAATATGAATTGGTAGTAAAATGTTCTTAAAATCATGATCAAAATCTGGTAATAGCAATGGATGGGAATTATAATGTCAAACTTGTACTACATTTATATGCATTAGACTAGTCTAGAAAATAAGAATATTTTCCAAAAGAAAGAATCTATGCAATTTAATTTCTATTATTCTTACATTTCTTTCTTCTTAGTGGCTTGTTTGTTGTTGTGCATCCACACTTTAAACACTTGTCTTTTCAGACCAACATCGTGGCAGAATTGTACAAGCTCCTGTTCATCTTGCTTCTGGATCTTCCACCCTATTCTGTCTGCAAAATCTTGCATCTTTTCCTTCTGTTCCTGTGTGAATTTCGTTCGAAACCTTTTCTTTGAAGTTTGCGCCATTAATTGCACTCCGGAACTCGTTCTGAATACATTAAGATCTTCACTAGATGATTCCGCCGGTGCGCCGCCAGCACCACCAAATGCCATCATAATTGGCGGCATTGGATGGTGATAATACCGGTGGTGCCGCTGCTGAGGTGATGGTGCGGGAGGTACATGTACAGCAGCTGCCGGAGGTGGTTGATTATGTGTGAAAGCTATTTGAGAAGTAGTCTCGCCTTCTATCTCTCTCCGGTGGAAACTCCGGTGGCATTCACAGGCGGCACATTTTAATGCTTCTGGCGTGCCATCTTCTCCGCTAGGCATAAACTCTCCACACCCATCGAGAACATGAGTGCCCATATTGGCAGCATGGTTCCTTAAGCATCCACGATACCGGACGACCACTGCAACCGGCGCTATAGAGGTTGTTGAAGGTGGTGGTGCTAGTGGTAGCGGCTGCGAGGGAGCTTGAGAGACCAGTCCAGAAATATTTGGATCCGGATCCGAGTTTGAATTCCTTCCGGGTCTTTCTGCAGCTTCCGGTTGTTCGTTCTGTAACCTGAATCCGCGATACTGGTCTCCCCGATGAAGATGATTTGGGGTTTCATTTCTTTTGGTGTTTGAGGTAGAAGATGATTCTTGAGTGGATTGAGGTGGAATAAGATAATTTATGGAGTTTCTCTCTCTAGTTTCCATTAGGTTTGACATGTAAACACATGATCCCTCACCCTAAACACCAATTCCAGTATTTAAAATTTCGCAAATCCTACTGGAAATCTCCAACATGAGGAACAAGGAATATAGAGATTAAACAGTGTCTCCTACCACCCACCCTGAGAGAACAAAGGAGGCAGACGGGTCCAGTTTGCCCTCCTCTTCATCTCCATTGAGTTTGATTTTGTGTGTGTGTGTGTGAGAGAGAGAGAGTTTATATGCTTATTTACACCACAATATCTTATACTAGCATGATATTATGTACTTGATGATATTATAATTGTTAAAATAATACCAAAATAAAATTCAAAAGATAATACCAAATTATACTTCATCTTTTTTTTTTTTTTTTTTTTTTTTTTTTTTTTTTTTTTTTTTTCTAAAATTATAATCCATTTCTAAAAATAAATAAAAAAATTTCCAAAATATCCCCTCATTATTATTTAACCGACTATGTATTTAGATCAATGTTTTTAAAAACCAGTTTTTAGTTGAAATGGTATGGTGATCGGTTCCTGGTTCAACCGGTTTAACCAGTTCGACCGTCGGGTGAACCGACTTCTATATTTTTCATGTTTTTTTTTTTCTATTTTCCTACACATACATACATATAGAAATTAGGAATTTGATGTTTACAAGTTCAAACATTAAAAATACATATAAAAATAAGTTGTAGATGAATCTAAATACATTAAAATAACACATAACCATAAGTTTTAGTATTTTACATCAATGCATACAGCATATACGTCAAAAAGAAAATAAAGTATAATACCGAAACGAAATATAGTTTTTGATGAATACAAAAACCTCAAAAGAATTTATAACTTTTACCATATGTTTTTATTTAGAGAAAACTAAATAGATTTGAAAAAAATCACCAATGTTTATTATGTAAATGGTTCTTTTTCATGTGTTTTTATTCGGTTTAACCAGTTCAACCGGTTTATTTTTACCGGTTCAACCGATTTTTTCTAAAAACCGGCCGGTTCAATCCGGTTCGGAAATCAATATAAAACCGGTGATAGTTGAACCGCTCTCTCTCTCCCGGTTCCCGATCCAACCGGTTCGACCGGCCGGTTCAAACCGGTTTTAAAACATTGATTTAGATATCCCCTCATTATTATTGAACCAACTATGCATTTAATAGAAAATTAAATGCAAAGTAAGGACAAAACAAAAATTCTAATATAACGTAAGGCGTGACTTGGCGACAATGTCAATGCTCAAGCTTTTCCGAGTCTTAACGAGTCACGTTGTTTGTAAGGCGTGACTTAAGGCATCAATTTATATATAATTCATATTTTTATATGTATTTTCAACTTTTTTTTATTTTTATACTCATATATATGCTAACACGGCATTTTGGTAAAGTTTGAAGACACATATAAACCTTGGAGCCATGATGAGCTTTTTAGAACATTGGACAAAACTGTCATTTTATTGAATAAAGTTAGTATTAATTAATGTTTCCTTAATCTGTGTGTTTTTTGTCCATATACAATAATTTTGGAACGGAGGGAGTAATATGTTAAGAAGGGTTGATAGTGATTTCAAATTTAAAATTACAACATTATTCCCATATCAACAATGGCCAATTTTTAATCTGGTGTCTCTTTTATTCGGACAAGTTTGAACCGACAGTCGAACCGGTTGTACCGAAAACCGGAGAAGGGAGTGATTCAACTATCATTGGTTTTACGCCGATTTTTAAACCGGCTAGTTTTAAAAAACTCTGTTGAACCGGCCAAAATAAACATGTTTAACCGGTTAAGCTAAATGAAAACAAAAAGAAAATAACCATTTGCATAATACATTTTGGTGATTTTTTTTTCAAATCTATTAATTTTCTCCAAATAAAGATATATGGTAATGCTTTGACGTTTTTGGATGCATGTGTTTATATTTATCTAATCTATATTTTGTTTTGGTATTATAGTTTATTTTTCTTTTTATGTATATGGATTGATATGAAATACTAAAACTTATTATTATATGTTATTTTAATGTATTTGCATTGATTTACAACTTATTTTTATATGTATTTTTAATGTTTGAACATATAAACGCCAAATTCATAATTTATATATGTATATATGTATACGAAAAAAAAAAGATGAAAATTATAAAAAATCGGTTGACCCAACAGTCAAACCGGTTAAACCGGTTGAACCCTTTCAACTAATAAACCGGTTTTTAAAACATTGAGTTTAAGTTGATTAATGTCACTTCTTTTAGGGAGGATGGAATTGTTTCGCTCCTTCTACCGAAGATGCCAAGTCGTCGAACCCAAAGTGGACCGAGTTGAACAGGTCCAAGCCGGATGACTCCCAAACAGTTTGAGGAGCCCGCAAAACCTCTCTCTCTCATGACTCTTTCCTCCGTCAAGCGTGATAGGTATTGATTTTTTTGGTAAAACATAAAAGAAAAAGATAACCCACAATAAACCAATTTCAATAAAAGATTTCAATCGGTTGGTTAAGTAAAACAAATAAAAAGAGTTATATTAATTGGAATTTACGGCTGTAATTTCTTTAAACAATTTATAATACATGTTTTGGTTTTTAGTTTATTGTTAGACACTTGTTTATAATATTTGGTTGAAAGTTTTTATAAAAAAAATTACATGACACTTTTATCACTATGTAACTTCAAAAATTTTTTTTTTTTTTTTTTTTTTTTTTTTATTTTTTTATTTTTAATATTGCACGATTTTGCTAACTTGGAGCTTTCACTGCTCCAAGTACACCATACCTTGGGTGCGATGAAGGTTTAGTGGTTCACCGATCATGGACTCCTCCTCTCATTTTCTCTAATCTCTTGTTTTCTTTAGTAATGTGAATACGTTCAACCTCACATAACTATTGTTATTATCACACAATCTCACTAATTAAATCGTCTATAATGATATTGTTGGTGTAGGTCTATTGGCTAGACCTGACTGTTGGCGCTCTGGCCGGACTACGAGCCAACGAGCCAGCGGAACGGCAAGACGACACTTCCCGACGACTTTGCACGATAGCCCCGCCTAGCAGCATTTCCTGACAGCTCAGCCTAACCCTTGGCTAGTTAGGCCTGGAATGGCCTAATCCATTTCCTAACCCATGGTCGGACCTAATTCCCTTGACCTAATGGTCCCTTATAAATAGAATATGTCCTCTTCCTTGAGGAGGCAGCTTTAGATCAGCTCCTAGAGAGATCTAATCTGCCCCTATTATACAGAAGCCTCTCCCCTCGATGGATCAACCACCATGCCCATACAGTCTCCCCACACGTCCAGGCGGTTTTTTCCAACCAGGAGAACCCATCTCCTCACACACTGATCTGACTTAATCGTCAGAGCCTGCTCTCGGGATACATTCCCTGGGGAGGTTTTAGCGACTTCTTGTTGTGATGGTAACTAGGTATCATGCCGAGAACTCGCCAGCGGTATCACCTCCAGATCTCCGGTCCAGGTCTAAAATACCAAGACCCAACGGCCTGAGTTGACGTCGCAATCGGCGGTATAGACTTTTTTATAATTCTCATTCCGTCAGAATGTTGTATTAATAAGCATATTCAGTATGAATGAATATGAGCGGAAAACAATGTGAGCGAACAAAAATTAATAAGAATTCGTGATAATGCATGATAACGATAATAGTTGTGTGAGGGTGAGCGTATTCACCTTAGTAAACAACCTATTCTCTTATTCATTTTCATATAATAACATTTTCCACACACGTATGCATAGTAGATGTTCATCCACATTATAACCTATATATATATATATATATATATATACACACACACACACACACATATATATATATATATATATATATTTGTGTATGTGTGTGTACAGAGAGAGAGAGAGAGAGAGAGATAGTAAGGATCATTTGAGAACCTATAGTTTCCTAATAACCCAAGAACCAAACGAGGATCGTTAGATCAAAACAAACGATGGTTGGATGCTTTTTGGCATTTTTGTAAATACATAGGAAAGAAAAGGCACATGATATGTTTTTAAAATGAATCAGGAGCATTTTAGGATAACAAAATTCATACCATTTATCGAATTAAATCACGTCAAGCCTACGCTTTCTGGTTGTCTTCATCCCGCCCTCTCTTCCCTTCATTCCACCTCTGAAAATTCACACTTCAGCTCGTCGACGATGAATCGTAGAAACAATAGACCGATGTTGTACTATGGATCGACAAGTCGATGACATTTCTCGCCGATGGTGATTTTTTTAAAGAGTAGCTACCTAGGGTTTGAGATGGGTTGAAATCATTTTCAATTTCTTGTTTTTTTGTTCAATTGTATTTCTGATTTGCTGACCATGCATGTAAGAGAAGATGAATAAAAAGAAACATGGATGGATGTGATGGTGGAATTTGTTCCAGAGTTCTGAAATCCTCATCGTCATTTGAATAAGTCACCATATCTTAAATTGTTGCCATCGTAGATTATTATTCTTGATCGCATCTTCGCCTTCGTGTATCTAAAATCCTCATCGTCAAGATCCATGCTAGTTTCACATTGGTCTAATTTCCATTGTCTAATTTCACCACGAATACCATCAATTTCCACCACAATCATCTCCCCCATAGAATGTATCGTCAATCGGCTACCGAATTCTTCGTCTCAGTTGTCCACTCTTCCGCTCCATCTTATCAGGTATAAACAAAAGTCATTGGATTCAACGATTTATTGCATCGTCAGCTCTCGACTTTCATACACAGACACTTGCATCTTTGGATGCGCTGCCTCATTCTTACATTAGCCTTTTTTTTTTAAATTCATTTAGTGTCTATTTCCGACTTCTTCTCCTTGATTTCAAAGGCTTCTCTAACTTCTCGTACATAGACACTTGAGTTGCGAGAATCAAGAAGGAAGTGAGTGTGATGAATGGCTCGAGGATTGCAGCCGAAGATTAAGTGATTGAAAGATGGATTGGGATGTCACTGTCATCGACAGGGGTTATGTACTTCCATCTTTC